AAAAAAATATATATTTTAAAAAACAGTCTGAAAAGTGTTGTTTGTGACATTCCTAGGTGGGAGGATCTATCTACTTTATTCACAGCAACTCCAGGATTCAACATGAATACTGGGGACCAGCATGATGGGCTCCCAAGGAACAAGCCTGATCAATAATAACAGGAAAGGCTAGGCCATTACAAAGTAGGGTGTACAAACTGTCCTAAAGCAGGGTGTGTTGTTGACCTCCTTCAAGGTCAGCCACAGCACCAGACTTCTACACTAGCAATAACAGGAGTACTAGCAGAGTCTAGCTGACGAGGTCCAGGGAACTCTATCATCCCCACTGATAGGAATCAGTAGCCTTCATCCTACTAGCTGAACTCTGAATTGCTATTGATGTGAGAGATAATGAAATAAAGTTCTTGCTTAGTGCAAAAGTAGTTTTCTCAGTTCCACCTTTTCTTTTAAGGCCTTTTCCCTACTAAAAGTATAAATATAGAAAAGAATAACTTCAAAACAAAAACTCTCCCCTTACAGCTTTTTGCAGAATTCAAGATAGCTCTTATCTTGCAGCCTCTTGTTTACATGCCAGAGTGTCCAACACCAGACTCTTTAAGGATAAGCTTGCAAAAAAAAAAAAAAAAAGGATAAGCTTGCTTACTATATTAAGTACCAGTATTTTCTTAAGAGAAAAAGAAATTTCCATGAAGCTTTAAGCACAAGCAACTCTAAAGGTATGAGATATCTCTGTGCCAAAGAAAGCCCAAAACAATAGCAGTAGTGAATAGTAAAAAGCATCAAAAAAGAAAGAGCTTGGTAACTCAAGACCGGTTTATTCTCACCTAGAAAATAAATCAATGAGCATTCCTGGGACTGTGCCAGTAACATCTGCACAGCTCCACCATTTGCCATAGTATGGTTGATAAAGATTTAACTCTTTATTTTCTGCTGCCTGTTAGTTTCATTGTATTTAAGCCATTATATTAACTGCTGAAAATATTTTCCTGTTACCAGATTATGTAGATGCTTTAATTATACACCAACAAAGGAAAGAAAAGAAACCATAATAAATCTCCAGAATTTTCAGGATCCAGGAATTTTGGTAAAACTCTTAAAGGTTAAGTAGGTAATTAAGTGAAATCTGAAGCCGAAGTGCAAACTTGCTCCATTTATATATGGTGAGAGAAATGTGAATCTGTCAGAACAGTGGTAGAAAACCTAAGAGTTTGTGAGAAGTGATTAAACAATTGTAAAAGGCATAAGAAACTCTGTGTAAATCTGTGGCTATGTAAAAAGATAATAAAAGTGGTACCATTTTAGAAGGGGGTGGGGGGGAAGGAGTTTGACCTTAACATAGAAAGTCTATCTTTTTTTTTTAAAAAAAAAAGAAAGAATAAGAGACTGGAAAGTAAGAGTAGGTGACTGAAAAGTAAAAGTAAGTTAACAAAGTGTGAGAGTAAGTGAATAAAGTTCAAGAAAAAGTGAATAAAGAGTAAAGGATTTTTAAAATTTTTTTTTTTAATTTTTATTTTATTATTGTGTGAGTGCATGTACTGTCAAATCAGATCTGACTGGTACAGGAGGAGATTGTCCCTCCCTTCCCAGCAGAGCATCTGGTGGATTCGAACCATGCTCCTCTGGGATTGCAGTGCAGCTTCTTGCCACTAGGCCACCAGAGCTCCCCAAGGATTTTTATTTTAATTAATGATGGATTATTCTACAAAGTCTTCAAAATCCGAAAATCCAGGGAAGTAAAATTTACTCTTGAAAGTTTTATCTTAGTGCAAAATACTTCATGAAAGAGGACATGCCCCTATTACTACTAAGATCTTGTTTTTCTAACATGCTTTCTAAAGTTATATCCGTCAGACTACGCTACTTCCAGCAGAAAATGGTGCTAATTCAAAGAGATACAATTATTCTTATCATGGAACTTCTTACGAGCTCCCAGATCTTCTTTGGACCTTTGACTCAGTCTTCACCCAAAAGTGTCTAATAACTGTTCACAAACTACACCCCTTCCCTGCTGAAATTAAACAGAGCAGTTGTTGTCCCCACTTCTCTAACAGCAATTAGAACTCCATCCCCAAATGAGTTGCAAGTCCCAGAGCAAGGAAAAAGCCTTCCACCAACCTGCCTTACCAGCGAAATCAAAATTACTTACCTTTTGTTGCTTACTTTACACACTATCTGTGCTGAAATCTATTGTATAAAGCAAATAAAATATTTTACACTCTAAAGAAAATCTGTAAAAGAAAAATAAAAATGGGGGTGATGTAGGGGTTCAGCTGACCAAATTAGGAGTTACCTAAAATTTTAAAAAATATATAATCTAAAGGAGGAAATCAGGGCAAAAGAATATGCTATCCTAAGTGTGTAGGTTCACAAGAAAACAGTGTCTTATAAATGTGTGTGTGTACATGCAAAACCTTAATTCTCCCACGATGCTACTTTCTGATAAAGATGTAGTTATGGAAATAGAAAAGGTCAGCAAATAAGAATAAAATGATATAAAACATCTTAGAGCCCATTTTACGTATTTTACTGCTTATGTAATAAAAAACTTCTCAATAAAAGTTATGATAATGTTCAGGTCAGAAAGACACTCAATCATGTGTTCCTCTTCCCTTACCTCTTCAGTAGTTTTTTCCATCGCCTGGCACTTTCCCGCTGGTCAGAGAAGTGAAACATATGGTGACCCTGACGTGACAGGTTGGGAAAGTTCTTCTTTGTGAAGTTGGTAAAAGTCAGATATTGCCGTCTCCAAGTAGCTCTTGCTCTTCTTATAGTTAGTTAAACTGGCTTCTGGGTCCCTCCACTTGGCCTCAGCCACCCACTGAGCCATTTCTAGGATCAACAGCATGCACAACAAATTATATAAATCTGGTGTGCCGGGCTCATAGGTGTTAGAACTGTAAACTCATGAAAAAATTTCTGCAGACTCTCACAAAGGTCTGGAAAATCTTTCACAATACCCCTTAACTCAGTCTTGAATCAAGAATTTATGGTCACTTCTACTGGTACTCCCTGTAATTTAGGTTGGTGGCATTAATGTCTTTGGGAGGTTCACCTATAGACAAATTACTAGAATGAAAAAGGATTTCCTTTAGGTAAGAACTAGAGATTAAATCAGGGTAGATAGACTGAATTTTCTATCTGACTTTTTCTCTCCGGGTTTTCCTGATTTTTATTAACCCAGGAGATTCTAAAGACATTTCATTCTCCTTTTGTAGTTCTTGGATTGTTTAGCAATACTACCTTGCATGGAAGCAAGAAAGACTCTTCTGTTGCCTACTTGAGAACTCAAAATACCAATTGTAAAATGTTTCCTGTGATGTTTACTTATTCTATCCCTTTTTTCTTCCAGCTTGCATCTTAAAACAGTCTGGGTAGTTACAAACTTCCTAACTTCGGCCTTCTGAGAGAATCTCTCTCCTTAGTTAAATTATACCATTTCCCCCAAACACTTTTATTGAATTAGGTCCAAAATTCTTCACCATGTGAGCAGCAGGTGACCCAAATGGAGAGTTTCAAATTGACTTTTCTGTTCGCCATTTCTCATTTGTTGTTGTTGTTTTGTGTGCCATGGAGTTAAAACTGACTCGTAGATTACCCTCCAGTGGGTTTTCACAGGCAGCAAATCACACAGAGCAGATTGTCCATCCTTTACCAGAGGAGTTGCTAATGGATTTGAACTTTGTGCCTTTGGAATTGCAGTGCAGCTTCTTACCACAGAGCTTCCTCTTTAACTCTAACCTGAAATGGAGAGAAGAAATAAGGAAAAGGAAGGAAGGGAAGAAGGGGGAGAGCGGGAGGGAGGGAAGAGGGAGCACGGGAATGTGTGGTTGCTTTACACTAAAACCAAGTGCAGTCGAGTGGATTCATAGCTCCTCTATGAATAGGTATGAAATCTGCCCTATCCTGACCTATCCTTATCATTCTCAAAACGACACGTCTGAGTCCACTGCCAAATTCACTTTACCTATCCATCCATCTCCTTGAGGGCCTACCTCTCCTTCGCGGACCTTTCCAAGCATGATGTCCCTTTCCAAGTAAGAGGCTCGCCTAGCAACACGTCTATATTCTTATTATTTGCAGCCCTCCCACATGGAGCTCTTGGCTGCCAAAAGAAACCCCGTCTGCTCTACTGGAGTAAAAGGTGGCCGTCTCCTCCCATAGAGATAATGGCCTTGGAAACAGGATGGCGTCATGCTCCTCCCGTCCTACAGTATCGATGCGTGAAAATCCACTGAGAGCAATGGAGTAGGGGGTTGGGGTTTTGTATTGGTTGGCACTGTCTCCACATAAAACAAGGCTGAGGGTCAGAGAAAGGGAGAAGATGCTCCCTTTGATTCCAGTCAGCCTTCCAAAGCTTCAGATATCTGGAAGACTTCTTCCCTCTCCCGCTAATCCTATCTTTTCCGCCTGAAGCCGGCGCGATCCGGCTCCTCACAGTCAAGTGGTCGTCGGGGGAAGGGAGGGGAGCGGATCGCCCGCCGCCATTTTGCCAGCTTGGGGCGGAGCGAGCAGAGCGCCGGTCACGCGCTTCCCTGCCCCGCCCCCTCGCTCAGCCTCGGGTGGGCTTCCGCGCTGCCCGCTCAGCGTCCAGAGTGGAGGAAGCCGGGGCACCGCTGACCGCGCGGCTGAGAGACGGGCGCGTACTCGCGCTCTCCAAC